TTTTTTTATTCACCTTTTTTTATTCACCTTTTTTTATTCACCTTTTTTTATTCACCTTTTTTTATTCACCTCTTTTATTCACCTTTTTTTTCGTTCAAATTATTATATATATATGTATACATCTATCGAGACGGACATCCATCCATCCACCTACGGAGTAAGTAACGCCAGATAGCGGATCAACAGCGAGGTAGCGAGCGGAACGGATGGAGATTCGTCAAGTCTGAAATAAAAGTGTACCCTATCCCATGGCCCATACGGTATCAGGGCGTGGAATTTGGGCGGCATATTTATATATTTATATATATACATATTTTTTATAAAAAAATATTTTAATCATACTCCCATTTACATTCCTGAGAAGCGGTTGGCTCTCCATTGGAATTGAAGCTCGAGTAGGGTTAGATTGCAGGATAATGGATTTGGGATGTCTTGTATTGTATTGTATTGTATAGTATGATGGACATGGTAGTAGATTACGTTGGCGAGTAAGGGCGTGGATGGTAGGATTCAGCGGGCGTTGGTTGGGAACTTGCGGGAGGAGTCGGGGTGGGAGGTGGGAGGTAGAGAAGCTTCATTTGGGGACATGCTTGCTTGGGAGTGGTGAGAGGGCGGAGGGGAGAGAGGGGTGGTGAATTTGATTGATTGATTGAAAGACAGATAGACAACCAGACAGACAGATAGAAGACAGGGGCGAGGTTTGAATGATAAGCAACCGTATCGGGTTCGCGCGCGCCTTCTAACCTAACGTCTGTCTGCCTGGCACTGGTTACGCGGTTTTGTTTAGCCGAGCATACACGCTTAGAGGAGGTCGATCTGCGAGAGTCCATCACCACCTGAGATACCGGTATGCGCCCTATGTTCTTCGTATGCTAGCTTCGCTGATCTAGGGTGTCCCTATCATGTCCAAGACGGGTGCTATGGCGTGGGAAGAGATGGGTTGGATACAACGTCATTCTGCGCTGTTGATTGAAAGCATCGAAAGTCTTTCGTATGTATGAGATGAGTGCACTACCTACCGAGTGCGAACGCAGCGGGAGTTAGGTTTGAGAGCTAGGCTAAACCAGACTCGCAGGCAACACTCATGAGAGAGGAAACCTCCAGCGCGCCTGTGACTGCTCGGAGACCCTCGAAAGGTATATACAAAGAGTTGTGGGGCTGGTAAGGCCGGCGCAACAGAATGCACAAATTGAACGACTCAATGGCGTGTACCGAAAGTAGTCCTTGTGGCAATGGGGTGGTGGAAGAGAAGTCAATGAGCAGGAGATATGCCACGGGCGAGCCATGTGACAGAAGGGGGAGAGCGTCATTCTACTCTGTATAAGAAACGTTCGCGCCAAGTGCCTAGACATACGCTAGGAAACCACAACTAATGGGCCGGCAGAGACCGAAGCAGTTGGTATTTAGGCATAAGGCGGGCTCGGAAGATTCCTGATTATAAAATGCACAATTCCAAGTGGACAATTTGGTGGCTAAGAACTGACGGAGACTGTAGATGAGCTGCTTGATATATTCAAGGGGCATCAATCTTGGGTTCTGAAGAGAAATAACCTCAATTGGTGAAGTTCCTTAATCGACTGCCATTAATAGCTGGTTTTTGTACTTAGGTTCATCCCTCTGCCCTCTGCACATCACGACGTTACCATTTGACTGACCGCATTCGGGACACTAAGGGACCCTTCCCGCAAGATCCCCACGGGCTGTTCCCGGCCATTATGTACTCCGTAGTCCGCCTGGCGCTTGGTCGTTCCTTAGAAGTTTCCCAAACTGTGAGATGTGCTGTCAAAGTGGCAATGTAAGCTCGCAACCAGGAGTCTCCGTAGGTCAGGAATAGAAACGGCGTCTGTGACTGCTCTATGGGCCCCGAAAAGCGTCTTATATCGAGCTGTCAGGTTGATAATGTATGCGTCGAAACGCTTTGGCGCTCTAGCGATGTTTGAGAATCTGCGTGGGCTAAGCCTACCGGTATATCATAGTCCTTGAAGGGATGGTTGGTAAGGGGAAAGCGAACAAGCAGGAAAAGTGCAACAGGTGTGCGTCGTACGTAGTACCGGTATGTTAGGCAGAAAGGGCGAACGTTACTTTATAACTGTCGGTGCACATACTAAGAGACCCGTGTTTTAAGATCGGTAGTGGAAAGTAGGCTTGCACGTGATCCGACAGGACCCCGCGTGACGGGCTGTTCATCGAGAAAGTCAAGCGGATCAACCTGGTCGGGAGAAGAAGAAGATAGGAAATGGACCGGCACAAACGCCGACCCAGGATCCGGTGCCCAGGGCTCTGGTTGGTTCCTTCCCGTGCGCTGCATGGAGAGGGAACTGGAACTGGATGGAGCTGAGCGGCGATCCGTACTGACAAGCGGGCTCTGGGCGAATAGGTAGTGAGCAGGGGAGGGCGCGGGCGCGGGATGCTTCTGGAAGCTACGGGCTGGGTGGGGTCTTGATGACACTTCTTTGAAAGTCGACGACGGCTCTGGATTGAAGAGGATCAGTGGTGGTTGTTCTTGGTTGTATTCGTAGCGAGTTTTTTCCAGCGTTGTATGAGTTTCTCGTTCAGCTCACGCCTTGGTATGGGGTCTGTGGTGGTCGGAGCCGGTTTCCAAGTCGTACGGAGTTGTCGTAGATCCTTATACTTCGTATCCGTAATTGATATTTTGTAATAGCGGCGTATGGTGTGTCCCTCCCCGTCGCGCAGAACTATTCAAGGTGCGAAATTGCTGATGCTGAACGTGATGTGATAAATAGTTCTTGCTGGTACTGATTATCTGGATTCGCATTTGTGGTAGCGAATAGGGCTTCTATTTATCTATCTGGCTCTAGAAATTTCGCCTGACTTAGTCACATTGTATATCATGTAGAGCGAGTCTGCCATCTATCTATCTAGCTACTCGCTCTTTAACAGAAACATACCTTCCCCATTCCCTCCTCTCTATCTATCTGAACATAGGTAGTATGAGCAGTATATTATATAGAGCCGATCCGGCTTTTCTACTTAAGTCTGATGCCAGAAAGGGATGGTTTGAATAAGGCACGCTGGCTGGTTGGTTGGGTGGGTCAGCGGGTGAGTGGGTTAGTAGCATGCGGTGTTTTTTTACTTTGTAGAAAGAGAGAGAGAGGAAGAGAGGGAGAAAGGAAGGGCAGAGGAAGGGAGAGGGGTGGGTGAAAGGAGGGAATGATAAGGGATTCGATGGATAAGATATATATATATATATATTGGCGATGAAAAGATTGGATCGATCGCTTTTTGCTGTTGTTTACGGGGTAGGCAATGGGAATTTTCGAATAGGAATAGGATTCTGGACTCTGGATTTTGAGCTGGGAGGGAAGGGGAGATAGTTGGAGAATCGAGATGGAAATGGAGAGGGAGTTAGCAAAGCGGTTTCTTTTCTTGAGTGGAGGTTGAAGTTTGATATATTATATTACTTATTATATTATATTATATTATATTGAATTTTACTTTCAAGAGATGGTTGGCATTGGGATAGAGGATAAGTGATAAGGTAGGATGGGATGGAATGGGATGGAATAGGATGATGGGATGGGATGGATTGGTGAAGTGTGTCTAGAAGAAGGGGGAGGAAGAGTATCACGATGAAACGAGCCATTCTTACAGAAGCTTAGGTGGTCCTCTTATAGCGTTGTAACGCATAAAGAGGTATAGCGGTTCAGATTATGCGGCTATGCAGGGTCATTTTTCTATTCACGTCATACGAAGGACCTCGGGTAAGGCAGACAAGTAGATATAGATGATGCAAAGTTTGGAGGCTGGCAGCGAGGCTCGAGCGGTGGCATTCTTGATCTTGAGTGAGGATTTTGGCAGAAGAGAGTAAGTCAACAACGCGGAAAGATAGGCGGATCCAAAATAACCGAAACGTCGGATCGATCGCTTGGGGCCGTCAGCAGCCCAATCCAGCCCAACCAAGCCCCACCCACCTCGTACAAGGATGATCCCGTGGACATTGTATGATGCCCAGCCACCCAACCCAGGGATCGGGGAAGCAAATGGAAAGGAAGGCTGGTCGAGAAAGAATGGAAATGCGATGGATGCTGAAAGGGGCATACCTGCCATGAGAGACACGTCGGTCTGCAGAGAGAGTTTGAGGCTGAGGTCATGCATGAGTAATGGTGGTGGTGTTGATGTTGGATACCGGTACTGATGTTGATACTGATGTTGATACTGATGTTGATACTGATGTTGATACTGATGTTGATACTGATGTTGATATCGATCTTGATTCTGATCTTGATTTTGATGCCATTTTCTCCGTACTGTTGGTATAGATATAAATGGAGATATATGGATACATATGAATATATATGGATACGTACCCAGAAGTAGATAATGCACCTCGCCGCTCCCCTCCTTAGCGGCACCGGACCCTCACCGAGGACCAAGGACTGTCACCGACGACGACGCGGGAACTAACCTTTCAGGCTGCCGCTGTCGTTGTCGTAGCGGCAGGCGGGCGGGTGGGTGCAGTTGCGGGTAGTGGTCGTGGTGGTGATCGGGGTGGTGATAGGCGCGGTGCGTTGGAGAAGGTTTTAGGCCTGCGCTGGGCTGCATGAGAGGGTCGATGGTGTCAGTAAGCTCTGATAGACTCTGATAGACTCTGATAGAGTCTGATAGAGTCGTTAGTCCGAAGAATGGGTGATACGGCGTATTAGGCGGGGGAAGAGTTCGGATCGGATTGATCTTGTATACTCCGTAGTAGTCGTCGGGCTTGCGGCTTACGGCTTGCGGCTTGCGGCTTGAGGCTTGAGGCTTGAGGTTCGAGGTTCGAGGTTCAAGGTTCGAGGTTCGAGGTTCGAGGTTCGAGGTTCCGAGCGATGACCAAGACACGAAATGACGTGGGGGAGGGGAGATGAGACGGGGAAAGGGAAAAAGGGAAAACGACTGGGATTTGTGACTGGGAATGATAGGACGGATCATTAAGATACACCTTCATGCTTCATGCGAGAGGAGAAAAAACAAAAACAAAAAAAAAGAAAAGGAGAAGAGAGAAAAAAAACATTAGACAACTCAATTCTTCTCTTGTTTCTGTTCTTACGAATCCTGCGACGGATTTCTCATTTGAACACCACCCAGTACCGCCCAATACCGCCCAACACCACCCAACACCCCCCACCACCCCTCAACAACCCACACCAGCTTTCCCTCCCTCTCCTTCTCCCGTACCACTTCTCCCTCCCCCCTTTCTCATCTCGTTGTCTCGCATCTCAGCCCTACTCTGCTCTGATCTGCTTCCGCCTCATTCTCACCAGATCTTCACGTCTGCATCTATCTGCATCTGCACCTGCACCTGCACCTCCCCCTCCCCCTCCGCCTCCACTTCTCACCTGCACAGCATCAACTCGGTCGGAGTGCCGCTGCGAACCATCTCAGACAGACAGCCTCCCATTCCCATTCGGAAGAAGAAGTACGTACGCTGCCATTCAGACCTGCGATCCCATCCTGTCCCATCCTGTCCCATCCTGCCTTGCCTAGCGATCTTCTTCGAGGCCAACCCATGGTTTGCTGACATCCTGCTCACTACAATAGCACTGCTCCACATCGCATACTTACGGACCCTCACGTGCGACGTCAGACCCGATCCCTTCCCTCGGGGCGAAACCTCGAGGCCCAGTGCCCGTGGTGAACCTCGAGTCCAGCTCATATATTCGACCTCGACCTCGACCTCGACCTTGACCTGGGTTGACAGCTCCAAGAACTAAAACAGCAACCATGTCAGATCGATACCGTTACTCTCGACCGCGCTCCCCGCCCCTCTTCAATGTAGGCCGGACCTCTCTCCCCATCAACATCAGCGGCTGGGCCACCCCGTCGGTCCAGGTCCACGAGCACCTTCACGTAGTGCCCTCCTCTCGCCGCGAGGTCATTCCGGGGCCACGAAGCAGCACAGGCTCCGTCATCAACGGGGGCACGATCACCACGACATACAAGGTCAAGACCGAGCCGGCCGCGCGGGGCAGCAGCGTACGGGAGGGGAGTCGCACACGGAGATCGACCGTCGACACCCACAGCCGGCCGACCGTCGTCACGACCACCACTCGGCACAGACCGGTGATACACAGCAGTGGGGCCACAAGGCCGGACAGTCCGTTGAAGAATACCTATCGAGGAAGCGAGGAGGAGTATGTTGCCGTGCCGGCGATATCGAGTTATGGACATTACCACACCAAGCGGTACAGTGCGACGATGGATAATGCGGACATGAGCCGCTTGGCACGAGAGAGGGAGGCAAGCAGGCTGCACGTCGTCCGAGAACCGGCGTACACCAGTACCAGAACGAGATCCATCTACCCCGTCGTGAGTCGACATGCCGACACGAACTCGGACGATTATGGAGAGGAGGGATACGGATATACGAATCCGAGAGACTTGGTACAGTACGATCTGAACAACAATCCGACCGCACATCAGAGATCACGCAGGGATAGTATTGGTGAAGGACGGAGCAGCAGACCGACGAGTATTACAGGATATGGCGAGATCGTCCCGCGGTCCTACGAGACGAGGGAGCGTGGACCGCCTCCCACGACCAGAGGCCTCGATAGGATGAGAACACCTGTCTACGATATGCCAGTGGCGAGGAGACCTGGTTCGCCAAGTTTAATGGCGCCTATCGAGCCGGTCCAGAGACCGGCTGCCTTTGAGCCGGTCGAGCCGGTCAGGCGGACGAGCGCTTCCCGAGCGAGACCACAGTCCATGTATCACGAGAACCGTGAGCCTCACAGGATGGATTCGCGAGGAGAAGATTACTACGAGATTCGGAATGACGACAGAAGAGAAAACAGATCGCTTCGTCATGAGAATCCGGTCGAGCAACGAGGTTTTGGTATCCGGGACGAATGTCTGGAACGGACAGAGAAGATTGAACGACCGCAAAGCCGAGCCCGGCTGGAGCGGTCTGAGCGAGGGGAGAGGATTGAACGATCCGAAAGCCGAGCCCGTGTGGATCGTATCGAGCGCGCGGACCGACCTGAGCGGACCGATCGACCCGACCGACCTACCCGGAGTGACAGACCCGATCATGACACAACAGACGAAAAGGAGTACAAGGAGCGTAAAGGTCGAGATGCTCTTGCTGCTGGTCTGAGTATTGCCGGCGCTGCACTTGGTGTCAACGCTTTGAAGAGTGCTGCCCGCGGCGACCGAGATGATAGGGAAGACCGCGAGGAGCGTGAAGAGCGGAAGAGACGGGAGGAGGAGCCACGAAGGCGTAGGGATCAGGAGGAGAGGACTCCCGTTGAGCTGGGTGGTCGACAGGACTTCCCACCGCCACCTCGGGATATGCCCCCTCCCCCTCCCCCTCGCGATGCGCCTGCCCGTGAAGTCTCCCCTCCACAGGCACCTCTGACCGCTCGCGATCCCAAGGAGCGAAAGGCGTCCCGGGATGAGCGGGACAGGGAGCCAGAGCGTCGCGAGAGACGTCGCGCTGCTTCAGAGGCAGTTTTGAACGGTACAGCCATCGATTCCCGTTCCGAGAGCTCTGCCTCTGACGAATATCGTCCTCGCTCTCACCGTGAACCACCTGCTAGGAGCGACTCCGGCCCTGCTTCAACGCCTTTTAACCCGAAGGACACCATGGACTTGTTCGCTCTCAAGGAGGCCTTGAAGTCCAAGGAAAATCAATCCACAAGCAAAGTTGCACCTGAGCCCATCCTCAAGTCTCGCACTCCCCGCGGCTCCACCACCAAGGATCTTCGAGAGGCCGCCGAAATCCGCAACAACCTCAATGAGCGCCGTCCCCGCGAACCTCTAGCCACGACGGAGAAGGACAACCGCCAGCCGCGCGTCCTCTCTCCCCCGCGCGAGAAAGCCGACGACAAGCCCGTCGTAAAAGGTATCCTGCGTCAACCGAAAGAGAAATTCCCCGAAGACCCCGCCCCCATTCGGGAGGGTGTCGCTCCGCTGAAGGATGCGAAGAAGGACGGGATCCCGCCCGATGCGCGGTGGACGAAGATCAGCCGGAAGCTGGTGAACCCCGAGGCGCTGGAGGCGGGCAAGGAGCGGTTTGAAGCGAGGGAGGATTTTGTGATTGTGTTGAGGGTGTTGAGTCGGGATGAGGTGCAGGGCTATGCGGAGGTGACGCAGCGGATTAGATGTGCGTTCTTTCTTTTTTCTTCCCTCGGATTTTGATGCATTGACTGACGGTGAATATAGCCTCCCGTGAAGAGCTCGAGGCCATAGAAGCCTCAGACCGCCGCCGTGCCCGCCGGGAAAGGCATGAACGCCACAAGCGGGAGCGCAACGGAGAGATTCCTCGTTCGGAGCGCGGGGAACGTCGATATCGAAGACGTGGCGATGAACGCGAACGCAGACGTGAGTCGGACTCCGGGTCCGACAGCACGGAGGACGACGAAATTTACGAGAGGGAGAGGCCGAAGATGCTAGAGGCGCCGCAGAAGAGGGCAACTTTCAATGATGCGCTTATGAGCGGTGGATTGGGAGAGATGGTGAGAGAGGGGAGTGGGGGAGGCAACAGGGTGCCTGTGGGTATTGGTAGCGGGAGGAGGGAGAAGTGAGAGGATTTGAGTCGGCGGAGATTCCAGGGGAGGTTAGGGATCGGCTTGGACGAGGGGATGAACGGGAAAGGGATTTTGGTGACGGAGAAGCTGTATGAGATGATTTGATGATTAATAATATTAGCGACGCACTTTTTTGCGTAAGTAGATGAGCGAGTAAACGAGCTAGCTAGCTAGCAGAAAGGAACGCGATGACATGATTCCAGTTGAGATGCAATGAAAGGTGATTTAATTTTTTAATTTTAATACCTAGCGGTCGATATACTTCTTTGTTTTTGTAGTAGATGCTCAATGATGACTGATAGCTACAGTACTAGGCAACCGCTAATGCATAAAACTCACTTTTCGCGCCAAAACTAAGGGTTCAACACTTTGAAACCCCCCCTTTCTCCCCTCCCCCTAACATTAACCAGTCAAGGACTTTGGGCCAGCGTGGTGCGCCCCCGGGGGAAATTTTTCTGAAATTGCTGTACGATATTGCTGGGTTTTCTTTTGGAGTTTGGCTATCTGTTTTGGGTTTCATTTTCTCTCGCACTGCTAAGTGCACACTCGGCTAACCCCGGTCCCGGCCTTGATACTAGTCGCTATGCGACTCGCACAGCGACGCTCTAAGCTGGCTACAGCAGACTGTACCTACCTACCTGCCTGACTCTCTCTCTTTTGTCGGTTTTCCCTTGACGAGAGATCCCCTCCCCCCTGTGATCCATCCTATCCGTGACCGTAAGGGAAGGGCGCAGACGGATAATAGCTCTCGCTGCCGAACATTGCATTGCTTCCTAGGGCCTTTTTTTTTGTATGTCACTCTTTGGCTTGCTTAAGACGTCGCCGTACCTTGCAGGAGGCCCCAGGGCGGCAGGCAGGCTTCGCTTGCTACGTACGCCCGACGTTAGTAAATACAATCACAACGGTAATAACAACAACAACAACAATAACAACAACAATAACAACAACAATAACAACAACAACGTTAGCCGGTGTTTTGTTAATCCTTTCTTCAAGGAAGTAGTTGGTCTGAACTGTCAAGCTTAAATCTGCTTCTCTGATCGACCTGGATATAACAGGTGAAGCTAAAGTCGCATTTTTTTTCTTTTTCTTCTCTTTTTTTTTTTTCCTTTTAAAAAATTTTTTCTTTTAAAAAAAAGTGATGGTCGTGGTCGTGAGAAGTTTATGCTGTTGGTTAGTCAGATGTGAAATGTGAAGATGGAGATTTGGTGCGGGAGGGAAGTTTGGGGATTGGTGAT